CCTCCCCACCCCCCGACCCCTTGACCCCGGCGGCCCGCCGTTTTTTTTCTGCCCTGCTGTTTCCAGCCATCGGAGCCCTCGTCCCTCCCCCGCCTTAGCTCTCCTCGCCGGAACGCTCCCTCAGCTCTCTCCTCATCTTTCACCAGTGGAGTTTTTTTATTTTTATTTTTTTAAAAGTTTAGGTGCCTTTGCGGATGACCTCATTTTGATGTTGGGGGAAAAAATGATTTTTTTAATATGTGGACACTGCAAAAAATGTGTTTAAATTATCTTTTTTAAAACCTATTCAGGATTATTAGCCTGGACTTCGATATAGCGTTTGTAAATAAAGTTGTCTGTGCAGATTTTCCCACTGATTTATTTGTATAAAAATACTCATCTTTTCAGACTTTTTTGTAAATCCCCACTTGTGAAAACTGCGGTTTAGCAGTGACCTCAGCAACCCCTCCGTTTTATTTTTCCCTACGACAAATGTTCTCAGTTTAACTAAGCTACTGATTTGGATTTGTTTTATCTTATCCTAAAGTCTTTGTTCTTGAAATGAAAGGTATTTTGGGGTTATTTATTATGAAAACAACATGCTCTTAATGTTGATTTTACAATATGAAGAGATTATTTAAATAAATTATTGTTTTCATTGGATGTGTGCGTGTGCGCTTTTTCCTTGGTGTCACGACCTGGAAGCTCGAGCCGCTGCCCAGGCGGGGAACTAGGTCAGCCAAGAGTGACATCTATCGGAGGCTGCGACTTGCGGAGAGGTGCGGCGAGGCGAGGACCCGCACTCTCAGCGCAGGGCTGCTGCGAGAGTTCACGCTCTGCCCGCATCCGTGTCCCTGCGCGAGGTTCGCCAGCTCTCGGCGCGGTGAGTCACTCAGCGCCCGGTGGCTCTGGCCTCCGCCTGCCCGGCCCCTTCGGCGCCGGCGCCGCAGCCCCGCTCCTGGGAGGTCTCAGCCGCCCCCGCGCCCGAGGTGCTGGCAGGGCAGTACCTTCGAGCCGCCTTCGGGCCGAAGCCGGGGTCTGACCCCTACTTTGGGCCCTCCCCACTGTTTGCCCTGCAGCCCTTCTGGGACTGGCTGAGCTGAGAACTCAGTGAGTCACCCAGGCCCTCGCGAGACTCTGGAAGGCAGGGCGACCCCGGGCACAGAGGGCTGCGCTAGCACACACGCAATCACACACTGACTCGCACAGTCACATCCATACTATCACATACTGAATCACACTTACACTCCTACACAGAACACTGACAAAAATTCGTGTACATTCGCACGGAGACCGACACACAGTGCTGTGGATTCGGCGTTGTTAACACCTCACGATCTCGAAGGGGAAACGTCCATACATGATTCAGCTCTGCTTTCCACATTGGGTCCCACATAACTAGCGCCCAGCTTTGGAAGTGACCCTAATTTCTGGCATTCCCTTCAAAGGCCAGGGGTAGATGGGTAATGCAGTCCTGAATCAAAAGTCTTTTTCCTTGAAAGCGCTGGGGCCTACAATTGGAAACGTCTTGGCTTCAGTCACAAACTGTGTGACTTTAGGCTACCCACTTAACCTTTCTGTGCTGCAGTTTGCAGATCTGTAAGATGGAATCAATAATAGCAGATATCTCAGAGCTGTGAGCCTTTAACAAGGGAATGACAGTGTGTGGCACCTGGTAAGCACTCAATAAATTTTGCTTAGTAGCATAGAGTTTTATCCCAATGTCCCCAAATAGTGAGGGCATTGGGATAAAATGCCCTGCAATTATGAGGCCCAGAGTTACCCAGAGGCCTTTCCAAGTTCACCTTGTGTGGAAGAGCAGCATTCTAGGGCATTCTAGGGCTGGGAGAGCTCTGGCCCCTTCCTATATGAGAGGCTGAACCTTAGCCATCCCCTCTGAAGCGACCAGCGTCTACTGGAGAGGAGGTTGGGGCAAGCCAGAGAGCCCAGTTTGCCATATGTCCTCTAGGATGGATATTCAGGCCATCCTTTTTGTGTGTCCTCAACTAATGTCTGCCAAAAAAACATACGTGGGGGACTTCCCTGGTGGTGCAGTGGTTAAGAACCCGCCTGCCAGTGCAGGGGACATGGGTTCAATCCCTGGTCCGAGAAGATCCCACATGCTGCGGAGCAGCTAAATCCGTGTGCCACAACTACTGAGCCCAAGTGCCGCAACTACTGGAGCTCGTGCTCCGCAACGAGAAGCCACCGCAATGAGAAGCCCGCCCACCGCAACGAAGAGTAGCCCCCGCTACCCGCAACTAGAGAAAGCCCACGTGCAGCAACGAAGACCCAAAGCAGCCAAAAATAAGTAAATAAATTTTTTTTAAAAATAGACGTGGGACAATGGTGACTTTCTAAGCATCACTGAGAGGAATTCTCACTTTTCTGGCCAGATTGTTCTGAGGCCTGCATTGAATCTAGTTTACAGCAGAGTATGGTCCACAGAGTTGGGGCTCTGGGGAAGGCAGGGAGGCCATTCAGTCAAGTGTCCGTTCGCATTCCTCCAGTGTTTTCCCAGGCTAGGGAAGCCTGGGATGAAGCTCATTGATCCCATGATTCTGACTTCCCTAAGCAGTTGCTGCCTAGCAGACCCCCATTCCTGCCACCGCTCCCGCCCCAGCTCCAAATTTCGTGGTTTTCTTTGAGTGCCAGTAGCTGGTGCCAGCCTTCTTTCTGCGGTTGACTGTGCCCTCCCTTCCTTTGCGCGCACTCCCCTCCCCCTCCTGAAACCAGCGAGGAGAGACGGGGCAGTAAATTGGCTGGTGTCGAGGATCTGCAGCAGACAAGATGATTAAGAGGCCTACGCCGAAGCGCCCGGGGCAGGGAATGTCAGCCCAAGTTGGAATCACGCAACAGGCCTTGGCATGAGCGAGCCTGGGAGCCGGGAGGGCGGGCGGCCCCAGCTCTGGGGTGGGCCGAGGCCCCACAGACTCGCCGGAGTCACCGAACCTGGCACCCGGCGGCGGCGGGGTCGGGCCGGGCCAAGGCGCGCCTTTTCCCGGGAAGCCCTTGAAGCAGAGCGCAGAAGGGTGCAGGGGCCAGAGGAAGGGGGCGTTTCCGCAGACAAGGAGAAGGGCAAAGAGAAGGGAAAGAAGGATGCACCTGGGTCCCAGAAGTAAGGGGGCGGGGAGGAGGAGGGGTGAGCGAGGGGAGAAACAAAGCCTGGCTGGGGGAGGAGGGGGCAGGCTCCAGCCCCGCCGGGGGCGACGCGCTGGCAAGTCCTTCTCAGTCTCGCGGCCCGCTGGGAGACGCGGAGCCCTGTGATCAGCCCGCCGCCGCCGCGCAGACAAGCTCCCCCCGCGCCCGACTGCACTCCCCAAAGAGCGAATGAAAAATGGAAATGGGAAGCAGCGATCTCGGCTCCCTGCACTGGGAAACCGGCCGCGCTCAGAACACACATAAATCTTCATTGTAATCTCCTTCCATTTGCTCGCGTGAAATATCAGGCCAGAGACAGGATATGACAAGAGCTGGGAAGCAGAGGGAGGGAAGACGAAGAGTGAGGGGTGCCCGGTTCTCTCCGCTCCACCCCCTGGCAGTGTTGCTTGGAACTCCGGCTGAGCGCTGGCACTGAGGTCCAACTCCAGTTGCAGGCACTCCTGGCGAGCCCGAGTCCCCTGCCCCTCGCAGTTCCCCCTCCCCCACCCACCGTACCCCCGCCCTGCGCGCGCTGCGTCGCGGGCCACCCCGCCCCGGGTGCTTCCCGGGTGTAGACACACACCCCTCCCACGGCCCCGAATTCCCGCCGCCCGCCCCGCCGCTCCCGGGCTGCGGGGGGAGGGGCGGGAGGCAGGAAAGAAAGGGAATGCATCCCGGGCCTAATCAGCGCGGCTGCAATGTGGGACCATTTAGGAGGCTTCCCCTCCGCCTTCTTTCAGGATTACTTGTGAAAATTGTGAATATCCGTCCTGTGTAAGGATTTCCGAGACTAGTGGGGAGAGTTTGGGGGAAGTATCAGGTTTGATGGGGGCGGAGAGAGGGCTGGAAGACTGGAGCTTTGTTTACAAACAGTCCTTTGGTAGAAGGGGGAGCGGAAAAGAGGGGTAAAAGGTCCCGTGAAGGAGAGTGATGTCGGGGAGTAGAAAGACCCCTAACCTTTCTAACAAAGATGTCCTCACTGACTGTGAAACCCAGGAGCAACTCCTGCACTCCCCAAAACACCCCCTCCCCCGTCCCCGTCCCAAGCACTTGCTCAAAAGTCACAAGCCGGGTCTTTTCCCTCTAGGGAACAGCGACCACCAGTCGCTTAAACCTGTTGGGAGTTAGAGTCCTCTTTGAGAATGAAACTACAGATTCTCTCTTCCTCCTAAAATACTGGTTCCTTTGCATTTGACTTTGGGGTCCCCGCAAGCCGGTGGGTGGGACGCGATCCTGCAGTCTTGATTACGCGGGCCCCTGGCCGGGTCTGACTAGGCTCTCCGGAGACGGGCGGGCTCTCGCAGGGTCGTGATACCCAAAACCGCCCCAGGGAAGCCTCCCTCTGCATCTGGAATCTGCCCCCAAGCCTAACCCGCTGCCCAGTCTCCCACCCCGCAAACTCAAAGGCGCGGGCGGATTCGGAGGCCCCCGCTACCCTCTGAGGCCC